TTATCTGTACTTAAGACTTAAATCCCAACTCTGTGATTCACACTTCTGAATTTAGAAAAGAAAACTTCCAAGCAGTTTGTTTCAAACCCACCTGCAGGCCCTTTATAGGCAACTTATATGGAAAATAAGAGAGCACAATAGGATCAGAAATAGGAGGCAGGGATCCTGTCTGGGGCCAATAAAAGAAGTCTCCTCATCAGGTGGGAGACCCCTTAAATAGAAGGAGAGAAGACAAGATTTATGATAGCCTTCCATGTTGTAGGCATCTTCCCTGGCCTATATACATATGCCATCTCATTGATTTCATTTATCCCATGCACATTTATTGAGCACCTGCTAAATATCAAACACTGTGTTAGGTGTCAGGGATACAAAGTCACCGTCCACAAGGTGTTCAGAGACAAGATATGGAGACCAGCCCTTCAAAAGATAATTGCAGTACTATGAGATAGTTGCAGGGTGATCGATATCCAGTTTATGTGCTTGCGACAGAAGGCATTTAATCCACCTGTTTCTTTCACCCGCTTCTCCATCTGAATAGGGCATAATCACAAGCTTGAGTAATCTAAAGGAGGGTGCTCCCTGAATATGGGATGTATCTAAGATAGCAGCATGCAAAGAGAATTGACTTTGGATTCAGAGTGCGTTCCAACTCTCACCACTGATGGGAGCTTGGGAGCTTTGCTTTAGCCTCCTGAGCTTCAGTCTTCTAATCAGCAAAGTGAGATAATGACTCCTACCTCCCTGGGTTATTGTGAGGATTGAGAAAGATAATAATGCCTACCATTTCTTAAGTGGCTTTTAACTGTGTCCTCCAGTGATAAGTGATGTGTATCCCTTTTTAAATCTTCAGAACAACCCTGTAAGGTTACTCTGACAGCTAAAACTGGAACTACAGGGAGATTACATTTTGTGCCTCTGACCACACAATTTGAAAGTGGTGGAATCGAGATCTAAATCCAAGTTTGTCCAGACCCAGAGCTGTTAGATTTGACATGTCCCAAATATTTAATCTAGAAGAGTGCCTGAGAGAGAGTAGGTGCTCAAAACATACAGGTGGTTCACATCCTGATTTTTTCTCAAATATCTGAAATTTCATGAAAGTACTATACAACCTATCACTTTTTCTCTCGTATCAACAATTAAAAGAATGCAAAGACAGCCTCCCTGGAGTTATAAATAGAGAAAATGATAGATAAGAGTATGAAATAAGCTATTTCGGGAGATACTTCTGTGCAGTTAAGTTGCTGGTCCTCTCAGGCTGGGGGTTCATACGCAGCTTCAAACAATGATGTCATAATAACCTGAGTGGAAGGGAACATTACCAAGCATTTCTCTTTATTGCAAAAGATGCCTTTGTTATTTGACAGGAGTTAAAACTCAAGCAACCTGAATTTTATATATAGTGTCAATTAGAATATCTTTGTTTATTTAAAAAGAAAATCTACATGAGTTAGTTTTATCGTCTTCAAAAGTTTTAGAAAATTGAGTTTTTCACAGAAGTCGATTTCTTTGGGACACAGGATGTTTCAGTCACAAAAGAAAGAAAAAGGTAAACAGATAAAACCCTAAGGTGAGTAAAATCCAAAAAGAGCCATTAAAATGGGTAAGATTTTTAAGCACAAAAACTTCTAATTAGGTGGTTAAGACCATCAAAGGCATGAGTGCTGCAAATAAATAATTATTCAGACAAGTAAACAGATAAAGGGAAATCCTTATTATTTGTGAAAACTAAAACCACAGCTACGTTTTTATCCCAAAACATTGCCAGATTGGAAACTCTCCAAAATTTACTGTGACGCTGGCTTCCAGGTCAATGGAAGCTTCCCCAACTGAAAAAGCTGAAAGGTATACTTAAGTCTGTGAACAAGAAGGTATCATGCATAGAAAATCAAACTGAGCCCTGACAGATAGGTGAGCTCTTGATTGGCAGCTCTAATGTGGTACTTCTCTCGGAACCACCAGACCATCATTGCTGTGGTGATTTTTGGCTGTGCCTAGGTGACAGTTTCAAATTAGAATGACTATCTGGATGCAGATGGATTTGCAAGTAATGTTTCTAGATAGGAAGAGCCCCAGATTTCAGCATCCAAATTTTTAATTTCTTTCCATCTTCTTTGTGGCATCCGTGAGCTTTAGTACTCAGAGTAGCTTTCATGAACCTATGTAAAACATTGCAAGATGTTTTTTGGTTATATAACATTTGCATTCATCATATGTATTTCTGAGTATGTTCTAACAATGTAGATCCTCAAAATAAAATCCACTCAGTTCAGAATCAGCTGCTACCTAGTCAGTCAGAATATGATTATAAAAACTCCAATCAGTTAACATACCCTCATTGCCATGGGATACATTTAATACTTTGCTTCATTAAACATGATTTATCCAATAGAAATATTTGGTTGCACAAGACAGAGAGTGACTTTGACTACCAACAAAAGAGAACTTTGTTGGAAGGATATGGAAAAACTGACCTTTTGGCCAGTAGACAATAACGACCTCCATTGACATTTCCACCGCCATTGGCAGGCATAACTCCCCAAGGCAAAGTCAGGACCCTGTCATAAGATGAAAGGTAAATGGAGACTGCACAGACAAAATCATCACATGCCCACCTTAAAATGAGGAAGCTATGCCAATAACATCAACTATCTTATCAGAGAATGTGCTCCTTGTCTTTGGAAAGGAATGATCTCACTGAGGAAAGGGCACAAGATTAAAAATTATACCAGAAATTCTCTGAATTTTAGAAAATGGAAGAGAACAAATGAGGAATAACTGATTTGAGAATTTTCAACTTAAGTATGTGAAAATTTGGAAATCTGCCTCACTTGCATTTATCTTAGTGAATTCCCCTATCACTTACTCACGTAGACACACCATTTGTTTTACTTATCTCAGTTCTAAAATAATGTGTATTTGAGTTCTTATGTGATTAATGCCTATGTCCTCCATTCTACCTTGAGCTATAAGAGGGGAGAAGCTCTACGTGATTTTGCACACCACTGTTACTTCAGCATCTAGCACAATATATGGCGCTCATGAATATGTATTAGCTGACAGAATGAAGTATCTTTAGAGAAATGTCAGTAGCATGACTTTAGTCCTGCACCCTAGCAAAAAATAACTACATGGTAAGATTCATTATCATGAAAAACACTATTTGAAAGTTAGAGCCAGAGTTCATATCTGATGACTATAGTTTTTGTTTTTTTTTAAGGTTTTTCTTATAACACAAATCAGTATTTTAATCAGTGTCTTAGACCCTGGTACTGCATGGGAATATTTGAGTTCCCAGAGAGAGAATGCATTTCGTTATGTTTGCCAGCTATGTGGTCCTCAAAATCCCTCCCTGAGTTGCTTATGCAAATCCTCCCTCATAAATCTCCATCAGCCATTGCTAGTCAAATTATGTTTGCCTGGTGTTTCTCTGTAAATCCTGCAAATCTGTTTCCTGTACTCTCCCCAAAACTGATGGGAAGTTAATCGCTCTGTAATTGCTTGCTATGTTTCATGTCCTCATCATGAGTAATGTTGCCATGTTCTCATCCTCAACCACCTGATTCTTTAACAGCCAACTCCTAGAACTAAGAGGAGCAAAGATGAAAATAATTTGGTTAGAGTAAGACTTAAAATGTCAGAATTCTCTCATAAAAGTAGGCTAATGAAAATAGAAGAAACTAGCTAAACAAAGTATTGCCTAAACACAGATTCATTAAATATAGGAAATTAAATTTGGCATAACAGAGAATAAGGCTTTTTAAAATATGTTAAAGATTTAATTTGCATTTCTCTTGCTTTTTTTTCCTCAAGGAGATCGTGTTCTCTTCAAGTGTCTTTTTAGAAGAAAATTAGGCATTATAGATCTTTCCCCAAAGATGTATTTCTTTTCCAAAACAAATCCTTACTTTTGAAAATATTTGATAATTAAAACAATAGGCCAAATGTTCAAATCATAGCTTAGGCATGAATATAATACACCTATGAACCCACATGAGCAAATAGTGAGTTATGAAGCACATGCTTTAAAATACTATAAAATCTTGCACAAACATGGAGGCACAATCGTGGAAAATCACTGAAATATTGATTTTTGACAATTAAAAAATCAAAACTGAGGAAGGTGTTTTCTCCTTTAAAATAACACTTGTAAATACAGGGGATTTATTATCTTCTCTGTTACACGTTCTGTAATAGAAAAAGATTCAGCCCATGATCCCTACCCTGAGGCCATTTTTATTTAGAACTCTATTTGTTGAGTTATGATGAAGTTGGGCGGAAAGGATGTAACCAAGGATGAAGAGTGTTAATATATTTGTATCAGTGATTTGAGAAGCTCATCAACCACACACATTTATGCTCTGAGCCCTAATTGTTAAGATTCTGTACCATCTCGTAAATAAATATATGAAACCTATGGGTCAGATTTTCCTTCTGCAAAGCTCAATCATTATTCATGGAAAGGGTAAGATTCTAGATCTCACATATATTTCAGACACTTTAGTGCTTTGAGTCAGCCTTAAATGGTAGTGCCTGAGCGTTTGCTCCCCCTTTAGTACAGCCGGATAGGATTTTAGTGTTATGGAAATAAAACATAAAAAAAGTAATATTTCCCATGACAAACACTGAGAGACTTGGGTGCTTTACAAGTCCAAGTTTTTAAACATTTTTTTATATTATAACAATTTTTGTAAAACAACTTTAACTTTGAATGATGAAAATCTTACACAGGAATGACTGCTACATTTTTAATGCACCCACAAGAGAAAACTACTTTTTTGGTAATCTCGTAAGTGGAAATAAAGCCAATTCTTCATGTTCAAGAAGTGCTGACTATGAAACAAGGATTAGATGCAGCTTATTTGCATTTTGGGTGTCTTTTGGGACTTCCTGGTTCCTGCCAAACTTGATTTTCCTTATTAAAGTGAAAAATTAAACCTTTTTGTAAAATGTATAAATCAAATTAGAAATGAGAGCCGTTCTATTCTCTTCTGCAGAAGGTCATGCATACAAGGAAGAGGCATATGGAACTGTTTCAGGAGCTGAATCAGAAATTTCAAACTTTGGACAGATTTCGGGATATACCAAATACAAGCAGTATGGTAAGTCTGCGTTGCTTCGTCAGTGCCTGGCGCCGCACTAATGATGTGTGCCGTCAGCCATTATCCTTACCCTCCAGGAGCTTTTCATTGTCTTGTGAACACAGAAGTGGCATACATAGAAAAAAACAAATAATGGTCCGCAGTGTATTTGGAATATACCAAGAAACAAATTAGGATTGATAGACTCTTTAAGCATTTTTATTCATGTTTTAAATGCTCTCGGTTATAAGCTTTAATTGGAATTAGTTATATATCAAAAATGTATTAGGTTCACCCGGCCCCTTCATCATCATTAAAAGTCAGTTAATTCAAATACCTAAATAGATGACTAAATTTTTCCATTTTCATTTGAATGACATTTTGAGGTCATAAAATATAATTCTATATTTCTTTATAGTATGCATATTTATAAACATATATATACATACATATATACATTTGAATGTATGCTCTACTACCTGAAACTGAAGTGTTAGGTTTTTGTCTCCAGGAGACTCATTTATTTTATGAGAAGAGTTTTAGGAAACACTCTTTTCCCAAGAGTTTGGGAAACCTCAACATTGGAGGCTTTGATTATTCACTGGACCATTTGCTTCTCATTCATTCACACTACTACAGTCCTAGCATAGGAATTCATCAAATGATAGTATGCAGTTACCATGTACATGACGCAGGCGTGGCTCCAGAGAAGGCTACATAATTATTTGTGAGGGCCCCGGATCAGGAATACAAAACTCAACCAAGATCTATCTGATCTTGAGCAAGTTACCCAGCTCGGGTTTCTAAACCTCAATTTTTCCTAATTTGAACAAAGAAAACAGTAATTAATAAATGCTTCCTTTGATTCTCATAACACTTTCCAAAGCAGGTAGGGCACATGACAGGTTAAGAAGCTGAGACTAGCTATGAGAGATAGAGCTGGGACTGCCATCTGACTCAACTGTTCCTCACTCCAAATATGGTCCCCTTGTTTTGCCTTAAACCCTTGCAGCCCTCCCCCTCCTCCCAACGTCTGGGGTTCTGATCACCTTCTAACTCTCATGAGCCTTGGATATGTGTGTTGTGAGTCTAAGTCCCAGCTTCCTGATTAGTAACATCAGTTTATCAAGACCAAGATTTTATGTACCTTTGTTTTTGCCTGTCCTCCTCTCAGTACTAGTACAGTGCTGGTCATGGTACTTTATCAGTATGTAGCTGCTCTTGATTTATAGAATGTTTCTGGTAGTTCAGTCTATGTTTGTTAAAGGAAGATTATAAGAAACACAATAGACCTTAACTCTTAATTGGTCTGTAAATAATTCACGTGTATATTAACCTATTTTCCTCCTTACAGCGAGAATCATGCATTATTTGTTATCATCAATACAATACTGGGCAAATAGAAGACACTTACATGTAGTGAGTGGTTCTTTCTTATCTACCCCTCCTAATACTGGCCCGTCAATTTTTAGTTCACCAGGCAAATGAGAATTGCACCATTGAGGTTAGACCTAAACACATTAGCTACTCATTTTGGAATACTGAAAGCTAACATTGAAAAAATTGAAGAAACGTCATTTGTTTAAAAAAAAAAAAAAAAGGATAGAGTTATGTTTACAAATCTGAAAGTCTTATGCAACAGATACAGCTGGCTGACTGCTATAATATGATTGTAATTTCCCCTTGTATGGTCTGGGTATTAAATCATTAATGGCACAAATATCTGTATCTCCATTTCCTGACAACCAAAATAGCCTCCTAATTACACCACATCTCTGCAGCAGCACGCCTTTTCTAGAAAAGATTTATAAATATTTATCATTTGGGAGGTTAGGAGTGGGAAGGATAGAGTTGTCATTGCTGCTTGACTATTGTCCTAAATATCTGAGAACAGAAAAGAGTTCCTTATTCAGTTTTGATTAATAATGAACATGTGAGTGAGTTCATTATCCTTAATTCAGTCATAATTCGTGTGCCACATTGCTAATGAAAAATCGCATGATTGGATAGAGAAAGACATTTTCAAAACAAAAATCTCAAAGTCTTTTCCTTTTTTTTCTGGCTACTAACTCAAAACACCTGCCTAGCACTGCAAATGATGGTAATTATGTAGAATTTTGGGAATCAAAGGGAACCCAAAAGACCATTTAGTCCATTTTCCCTGCTTCCAGGCAGGACAACATCTAAATCACACTACAAAGAAAAGGCAGTTTTGAAAGAATTCTCTTATTCCGACTTTGTTTCACAAACTCTTCTCCATCAAGATCCCTTTCCCCCAAGGAGCTTCTCCAAATTCTTGCTCTTTTAGAATATAGAATAAACAAATTCTCATTCCCTTGTCCCCAGTATTGCTAGGTTAGAGGAAGGAAGGAAAGACAGAATAGAGGGAAGGAGGAAAAGAGAAAAGGATGGACAGAGGGAGAGAGAGACCTGTCCAGAATTAACAGCTAGCCTGCTCCTAGACCCATGAACTATGGGAAATGCTCAGGTGGCCTTGCAGTGGTCCAGGTGGCCCTGAATTCTAATATTCAGCTAATATCCCATTTCTATATATACAGCCTAAGACCAAATTAGCATCTTTGGAAGTTTCATGCATATTGGCTTATATTGAGTTTATTTATAATTTTTTATTGTGGTACAATTAACATAACAGTATTAATTATGGTTTGATATTTGTATATGCTGCAAAATGATCACCCAATTAATCTAGTTTCCTCCTGTCAGTATCTAAAGTTATGTAATATACAATATTGTTGACTATAGTCCCCATTCTGTATATTACATCCCCATGACTTGTCTTAGAAGTGTATATCTTTCAACCTCCTTCTCCCATTTCACCATCCCCCCCCCACAAAACCCCCTCCCTGCTGGCAACCACTAATCTATTCTTTTCACTTCTGAGTTTTGTTTTGTTTCATTTGTTTTGTTTTTTAGAGTCTACATATAAGTGAAATCACATGGTGTTTGTCTGACTTATTTCATAATAAGCTAATAACCTCTAGTCTCTCTACATGTTGTCACAAGAAAGGCAAAATTTCATTCTTTTTTATGACTGAGTAGTATTCCATTGTATATCTATATACCACATCTTCTTTATCTATTTGTCCATCAATCATACACTTTGGTTGTTTCCATATCTTGGCCATGTAAATAATGCTGCTGTGAACATAGGGGTGCATATGTCTTTTCAAATCAGTATTTTAATTTTCTACAGATAAATACCCAGAAGTGGAATTGCTGGATCATATGATAGTTCTATTTTTAGTTTAGAAACCTCCATACTGTTTTCCACAGTGGCTGCACCAGTTTACATTGCCACCAACAGTGCACAAGGGTTCCTCTTCCTCCACATCCTTGCCAACACTTTTTATTTCTTGTCTTTTTGATAATAGCCATTTTCACAGGTGTGAGATATTTCATTGTGGTTTTGATTTGCCTCCTTTGTTTTAAATTTATATACCATATATGCACGGGTTTATTTCTGGGCCTTTTTTTTTTTTTAATTCAATTAGCTTAGGTATAGTACATCATTGGTTTTTGATACAATGTTCAGTGATTCATCAGTTCAGTATAATACCCAGTGCTCATCACATCATGTGCCCTTGGAAAGGGAGGTGGGGGGGGATGGGGTAACTGGGTGATGGGCTCTTTATTGTTCCATTAGTCTGTTTTTATGCCAATACTATACCGTTTTGATTACTATAGCTTTGTGATACAGTTTGAAAACAGGGAGCATGATATCTTCAGCTTTGTTCTTCTTACTCCAGATTGCTTTGGCTATTTGGGATCTTTCTTGGTTCCATATAAATTTTAGAATTGTTCTATTTCTGTGAAAATTGCCATTGCTACTTTGATAGGGATTGTATCAAATCTATAGATTGCTTTGGGTAATATGACATTTGAACAATATTAATTCTTCCAGCCCATGAACGTGGTATATCTTTCCATTTATTTGTGTCTTCTTCATTATCTCTCACCAATTTCTTGTAGTTTTTAATGTATAAGTCTTTTACCTTGTTGGTTAAATTTACTCCTACATACTAAATTCCTTTTGGTATAATTGGAAATGAAATTGTTTTCTTGATTTCTCTGATAGTTTGTTGTTAGACACAACACAAAAGATTTTTGTATATTGATTTTGTATCCTGCAACTTAACTGAATTTATTGGTTGTAACAATTTTTTGGAGGAGTGTTTAGGGTTTTTTACCCATAAAATTATGTCCTTTACAAATAGGACAGTTTTACTTTTTTTTTTTTTTTTCATTTATTTCCTTTTCTTGCCTAATTGCTTCAGCTGGGACTTCCAATACTGTATTGAATAAAAGTGGCAAGAGTGGGCATCTTTGTCTTGTTCTTGATCTTAGGGGAAAAGCTTTCAGCTTTTCACCACTGAGTATAATGTTAGCTGTGGTCTTGACATTATATATCTATTAAATCCATCTGGTTTAATGTATCATTTAAGGCTAATGTTCGACTTTCTGTCTGCATGATCTATCTTTGATGTAAGTGAGGTATTACAGCCCCCTAATGTAATTGTATCATTATCGATTTCTCCCTTTACATCTGCTAATATATGCTTTATTCATTTATATGCTTCTAGATTGGGTGCATAATTACAAATTTATATCTTCTTGCTGGGTTGATCCCTTTATCATTACATAATGCTCATTGTCTTCTATTAGTCTTTGTTTTAAAGTCTATTTCGTCTGACTGAAGTATAGCTACCCAGCTTTCTCTTGGTTTACATTTGTATGAAACATCTGTTATCATCCCTTCAGTTTTAGTCTGTGTGTGTCTTTACAACTGAGGTGAGTCTCTTATAGGCAGCATATATATGTGTCTTTTTTTTTTTTTTTTAAACTCTCCAGCCACTCTCTATCTTCTCTTGCTCCCTTCCCTTGTGGTTTGATGCTTTGCTTTACTTTTATGTATTTACTATAGGTCTTAACATTGTTGTGATCATGAAGCTTATATATCTCAGCCTACATAAATGCCAATCTATATTAAGTTGATAGCAAGTTAAGTTTGCACACATTCTAAAATTCTACATTTTAATCCCCCCCCACATTTGATGTTTTTGATGTCACATTTCACATCTTTTAATTTGTGTATCCCATAACTATTTGTTGTAGTCATTATTTTTCCTACTTTTATATTCTTCGTTGGGATTTCTGCTTTTAGCACTTTGAATACATCATGCCACTCCCTTCTAACCTGAAGTTTCTGCTGAAAAATCTGCTGATACGGAGGTTCCCTTAAACCTAACAAGTTTTGTTTTTTTTTGTTGTGTTTTTTTTTTTTCCTGCTGCTTTTAAGATTTTCTCTTTAACTTTTGACATTTTAATTATAATGTGTCTTGGTGTGGATCTCTCTGGGTATATCTTATTTAGAAAGCTCTATGCTCCCTCAACCCATAGGTCTGTTTCCTTCTTCAGGTCCAGGAATTTTCAGCCATTGTTTTTTCAAGTAAGTTTTCTGTCCCTTTCTCTCTCCTTCTGGGACCCCTAAATATTGTTTTACTCAATGTTGTCCTATAGGTCCCTTAAATTTTCACTTTTTGGTTTTTTGTGTGTGTATGTGGTACTCTGTTTGGCTGAGTTCTACTGCTAGGTGCAGTAGTTCTTTATCACTAAAGAAGCATGGGCCTCAGACCTAAAGGGTGTCCAGACATTTATGAACAAGGGCAAGAACCACAGTACTACTGGGAATACCATGGGAGGCCAGAGAAGATGAACAAGAAAGCCAACCTTATTAATTATATAACCTCTCAGAAATTCAGTCAGTCATATACTGGCAGTAATACTGTGAAATTAGGATCTAGACATTCTGATGAAGTTTAAAATTGGCCATTTTAGTTCATGGATCCATGATGCTTGATCTTCAAAATATAAATTGAAAATCACATCTGTTCCAAACATAATGAAACTCCTATTTTCAAAGCAAATGAACAAATAATTTACATGTCCTGAATCCTTTTAGGACTGAACTAATTCAACTTTTTCAGACTAAGGATTCCCAGAAAGCTCCTTTAAGACACACAGCCTTTGTCTAAGATGGATAAATCCTCTCCATAGCTTGATGCAGCAGAATTCACACCAGTGAACCTTTGAATCAGTGATTAATGATTCAGGTCACTGTAGTGCCCTGAAATCTTCAACCATTCCCCATTGCCTACAAAATAAATTCCAAATTGAGTGGCCTGGCATACAATGTCCCTTATGATCTGGCTTTCAATTCACCTTCTGCCTATTTATTCTATTCTTTTTCACTCCAACTAAAATAAACTGGTTACTTTTCTCAGACTTGTGCCATCTGCATGCTCTCTGGATTTTTACTTCTCAGTATGCCTGCCTGTTCAGCCACCCAGCCTCCAATCACACGTCTTTATGACCAAGCTCATTCTTCTATGACTATTCTAATATCACTTTTCTCAGAAAGGTTTATATGCCTTCCATAAAAGGAAGCCTTATCTCCACCCTTGTCTGTACCCCCATCAGCACTTTTCCTAGATTATAGACACAGATATAACTATATATTTAAACCTTCATTTAACTATAAACACCTTCATAATAAGTATGATTACTACATAGTGACCATTTATTAAATACTAGGTGTTATGCTAGGCCCCGTAACTTTATTTTTGCAACCCCATAATGTAGGTAATCTGCATATTTTGCCAGTTCCTTTGGCCCACAATACAAAGCATAGTTCTCTGTTTTGCAAATATTAAAGTTGAGGTTCATAGAAATCAAGTAAATTGCTCAGTTACGTTCATATAAAATGGAGCAACTGGAATTTGGACCTGTATACATCAGGCTTTAAATCTTACGCTTCCTAGTGAACCATGTTGGCTTTTCATCTTTGATTCATCACTTTATCCTCCCTAGTGCCTAATATGCCCAACACAGAGCAGCTGATAAATATTAGTCGAAGGGAGCAAGGAAGGCGGGGAAGAGTTACAAGACTATATAGTTCATAAGACTTTAGGATATTAGACTAAATCAGAATTAATCCCCTGCATATATCCTAAAGGTTAAAATCTTATCACGTCTTAACTTTTAGCTATTGTTTTCTTGTATATCCTCATGATTAAGGCTAATAAGTGTTAAAAACATCTAACGTATTGAGGATTTTAACAATTTAATTTCTAGTTATGGTATGTATTTCTATAGGTTGTCTCTTTTTATCTATACTTGAGAGTGATTTTTATTATTTTCAATGGAACCCAGATAATAATTGCAGTATCTGTTTTACATTTCCCCAACTAATTAATTATAAGCAGTTGAAGGCTAGAATTTAGGGTGAAGGGGAAGAGATAAAGGACACATTCAGCAATTATAGTTTAAGTGTTTTAGTTTAATTTGTTCTAAGGAGAATTTAGTCATGATTTCCTTCTTGTTCTTTGATGTTACTCAGCATAGTCTATTCCATTCAAATTCCCTCATTTTACAGAAATCTTTAAACACTTTTTAAAATAAAAAGTTCACTGCTAAATCTTAGCAAAGTATCAGGCTATAGAAACTTTGAATAATGTCAACTCATATTTATTGAGCCCCTACAACATGGAAGGTCTGGGTGGAATAATAACTAGGCAGATCTTAAATCTCAAGTAGTAAGAGGGTATATACTAAGGAATATAAGGAATGCTGGCCGGTAAACATACTTTAAAACCTTATATTGCTAGATATATTTTCCAAAAAGCTGTGCTCTTTGAAGGGAAGAATGATTTTTGCTAAGTTAATGTGCGGCCCAAATACGTAGAAAATTGTTGGGAATATACAGCAGGGAAAAAATAGATTATGCAAGGGACATAGTAGCATTTTAATGTTCTAAAAAGGATAATTTCTTAAAAACTAAGCAAAGTTAATGAAATTCAGTTTTATGAAATATGGCCCGTTTGGGGACTGTTTTTATTATTACATAACATGCCCCATTACATACCTTCAAATTTTATCTCACCAAAGATTCTGCCAAAATACTTCAATTTTCTACATTTATCTTAGCAGGAACACTCCTTTCTACCTGAGATAGCTATACTGACATTTCACAAGGTACCCAAAACAAAACATCATCTACTTTGCCTTCCATAAATTATTCAATTCCTTTGATTGCTGGAAAACTTTAGGATAACATAAAGAAGGTGTTCATCAGTTTGTTCAATGAAAGAAAACTAAAATCAAAACCATTTCCTGCAGCTGGCCACAATTTCAAATCATCTCTGAATCATATAAACTCGATTAAGGTCACAAACATGCTCTCTTCCTGGGAACTTCAACAAGCAGTAATCCTCGTCATCAAATAATGACTCTCTTCCCCTCTCTTCTCAACAGGAAAACCCAGCACCAAACAAGAATCCATGGGACACTTTCAAAAACCCCAGTGAATACCAACATTACACCACAATCAATGTCTTAGATACAGAGGCAAAGGATGCTTTGGAACTGAGGCCAGCAGAATGGGAGAAGTGTCTGAATTTGCCTCTGGACGTGCAAGAGGGTGACTTTCAAACAGAAGTTTAGCAAAATCAAAATGGACTGAGGTGGATATAAAACAATTTATTGCACTGACACTTAAGACTTGGGAAGCCTGACAATTCTATCTGGACCATGTGACTATCCTATGTCAGGACCTTCATGTGCCAAATGTCAGTGGTGTTTGCATATGGTAACTTCTCACTAGTCAGGCTAGTGGAGAGAGGACCAGGTGTACAGTTCTGACCATCCTGTGTTGTAAGTATCCGTGGAATGGATTTGTAAGGTAATCTTTATAGATAAACCTCAAGCAACGATTCATGTTGTAACCGCTTCATATGGTTTAGTTTTCAAAAAACTTCACCATGAAGCACAATGTATATATTTATGCAGTTTTTAAAGTTTATAACAGTCTGTTTGGCCATTACTACACTTTTTACTTTATAATATAAAAGCAAAGTTTTTGTCATTAAATGAATGTTTGTTGAGCTACATTCTTCATTGCTTTAAATGCAATAAAGTAATAATCTCACTTTTATATGAATAATATATTTCACATCTTTATTATTGCAGTTTTCTCTAGAAAGCTCTGAGTAGCTTTCTCTGCTGCAACTGTGTATAAAATATTTAAAATGTTGTATGGTGTAAATAAACTTTTGTCTACATATCAGTTTTTTAGTGCATTTTATTTTGGATTTGTTGAACAGAAATTTACATATTAAGTTTTTTTTTCAATACAGATACTGAAAATGTATTCACAGTTTTAATAGCATACCATTATTACTCCTTTGAGGCTAATGATTTCTCAAATGTAATAGTAGGTTTGTATAGTGCTTCTGTATTTTCTACTCAAGCATCCTTTGGAACAATGTAATGTGTAAATGGGGCTGGTCAGAAATCTGCCATCATAGTCTTACATAAATATTATGGTTTTTTTTCTATCTTGTGGCAAAAAGACAACTACTAGTAGAAAACAGTAAGTTGCCATACAAAAAATAATACAGGGAAAATGTTTATTTATTATAAGTAATGCAGTCCATTGCATGTTTCACAAAACTTCTTGTACTATAGTTCTTCATAGCATATAAAAAAAATGAACTTTATTCAGGATTTTTTAAAAAATCTTCTCTGTATATTCTGTAGCAGAAGGAAAAGGGGAGTGGATGTATTATTTGGTAGATGCTTTCTCTCTGGTGTGAAAAGTGGGAAGTCTGAGGTGAGCTGGTCCCTAGCGCCCTCTGTAGTGGAAAGCCACACCAGTGATGTCTCCTACTTTCTCAAAGCCTCACTAAAGGAAACACGGTGCAAAGGATTTCAGCAATTTTGTCATCCTTTTAATGGATGGTACGATTGCATCTTTCAATCTAAGGGAAGTATAGGGAGTGGAAAGGAGATTAGGGTCTTCAAAACTCCTAGAATGTTTATTTAAATTAGTTTTGTTGTTAAACCTAAGCTGCATGGTCTTGTGTGGTCTGTCAGAAACTCAAGTGAGCTGGCTCCGGCCACCCATGACCTGGGGGACCCAGCCCTGCAGGCCATGAGTCCAGGCAGAAACAAAGGTGCTTCAATGCTCGCTCAAGTGCACCACGAAGCTAGAGCCTTAAAAACCGCCCAGCTCAGGCTGAACTGTCAGATATTTACAATGTTCTCAATGTAAAGATGTTAAAAATATATTTTTAACCAGATTTTAAAAATAAAAGCAACATCAGAATATAACATAACTAAGGAGTGATTTTTCTATAGAATAAATTTCATGCTAATTATAATGTAATTGTAATATTAAATGTTTTAAATTTATAAGATGACTTTCTGGTGATAGGAATATTGAGTAAATTTCTCTTTCAATATCCATGTATCTAAGTACATACATATGCATATATGTATGTATATGCATGAATATATATATACAGCTACATATGTATGTGTGTATATATATATATATATACACATATACATATATATACAGATGCTTAGCTCCATCTCAGTAACCTATAGAGTGAATGAAAACCATGTAGGCAGTTTCCCATTTCAAACTGTAAAATCTTGACTGGAAAAAAAAAAAAAACCCTCAATAAGCATATATTTGAAAACAAATTCTATGTTTAAAAACCAAATTCAATATATTAGACTAATATTTCTTGTAAAACTACAATAGTCACTGCCATAAAATAAAATCTATTTTTTTCACTATTTTTCTCTAGTTCTAGTAAATATCAGATTATTATATGAAAGCTAAGCAGAAATTGCATACTTGAAAATGTTTGTTAGGGGATAACATTTTTGTTACTCTAAGAGGGATGCCAAGTTGTAGTGGTGCTTTTCATTTGTTTTTTAATCTATAAGGAAAACAATGCAGGCAGGTCAATAAGTACCAAGGAATCATAATTTCAGAGAAGCTCTCATTTTAGTCCACTTCTTAACAAGTTTCCTCTGCACATGAACATACTCGTACTCTGCCAAAGCTGACTTGCAGCCATCCCCTCTAACAAACAGTCCTGGGCAGCTCTCTCTGAGCCCACTGCACTCACAACCTGCCAAGAACTTTGTGCCCTTGGACTGGTAGTCCTTCCCCTCCCCCCACATCTAAATTTTATCTATGCTTCAAGGTCCACCTCGTATTTCATCTTCATGAAGTTTTTCATGATTTTCCAAGCTAGAAGTAATTTCTCCTGTGAACTCTTATGGCAATGCTTCTGTACCTCTCTTAGGACTTTTAAAAAAAACTTCTACCTTGTTATTTATACACATTTCTGATATCCTCTGGTGGACTGTAAGTGCCTGGAGGGCAGGATTCATGTCTGATCCATTTTTGTATCTCTTAAGGGACCTAGCACAATAATGTTCACACAATAAATGTTTGTTGAATTATTCGTGGAATTTATTTTAGTATTGCTTATAGTCATGCATTCACAGCAAGTCACACATTCACAAGTGTTTATTGAATAACTATTACGTATTTACTTGTTAGGAGAATATAGGGCCTCTGTTTTAGGGAGCTCACAGTCTACTAAAGATGGAAAATACCAATGTGAAAGTAATAATATTTAAATATTATAAGCTCTTATTACCCTATATTGTCTTTTTGCCCTCAAGATTACCACATGAGGCAGGAATTATCCTACAGAAATGGAGACTCAGAAGAGGTTAAGCAATCTAAGATCACCATAAGTAAATGACAGACCCAATATTAGAGCCCCCATCCTCTTACTTCTACTCTGGGGTCATTCCCATGATACCATGAAGTTTCTACTGTTCCTTCTAGTTTATTAAGTCCCCAAATCAAATAACCACAAATTCCATGGAGATGTTTTTCAGCCTAGTAGTAGAGGCATAAAACTGAAAACATGCATCTTCAGCTGCCATGGGGGTGGTGAGGACAGTAGCTAATTGTAGCAGAAAAGCATGGCTGATCAAAATAGCAAGTGATTTTAAATAGATTTGGTCTATTGTGCATTGTGTGATTCTATTTGCACCACTTTACCTTTCAAATCCTCTTCAAATGTAATTGCTGTTTCACTAGTTTTGTGATTACTTGCACATATGCAACAGGAGACAGAAGAGAGAGGCCAACCTGAATTTTCAGATTGGCTTCAGACACTCTAAAAACATACAGCCACAATTTTAAAAAGTTGCAGTCAGTAAATCACTGCTTCAGAAAATTTAGATTGCAAATTTTAAATCATTCTCAGCTTCTTAGAAAATGTTTACAAATTTTAGGTTTTTTGTTATCTATGTCAAAATCAACTCATTAAATTCTACAAATTTATATTACTTCATTGAAGAATATGAAAAGAAATATGTCTCCAGCATGTCAATCTGCACAAAGTTTTCTATGATAACAAAATCATCTATCTTCCCCTGACACACTTCTATAGTTCAATTCATAGCTGGGGTAGTAACAGCAGAACTGAGAACTCTAATGTTAGAGATAGAAGAAATTTTGTCAGCCAATGAAAACGGCAATTATATTCAGGGGTCAAAAAAATCCAGACGTAGGTAAGGAGAGACTTCATTTGAAAAACTGTAGCAATGGGGCAAAAGGACTATTGCAATAGGAAGAAACCTCCAACTATAAAATCTACAAGCATCCCAGATGCCAGGCAGAAAGGGCTTTTCTTTCATAGGGAAGAGTCAACAAGACTAGAAAGAATCGGGTGTGGGAGAGTGAGGTGAGCAAAGGTCTGAGCGAGTGGTTGAACAGGAAGTGTCTTTGTAGCCAGCCAACTCTGGGAGAGATGGTTAGGGGAGATTGTTCAACCTTCCAGTGCTTAGCTAATCTCCCAATACTTGTTTAAACTCAAGGATGGGCCAGAGTTCAGAGGCCTGGGGAAAGCAAGACACCTAACTGAAGTTTGGTGAAGTTAAGTTAGCAAGTATTTTGTTCAGATTGGTCAGTGGGGACAAACCATTCACTTAAGAATTTCTGAGACAAAGGATAGGAATTTCAAGGGTCTGTGTCTGACTTTGTCATAAGTATACAAGAGGTTCACCTGAGAGTCTTATCCAAGGTCAGAAGGGTGGTTCCTTTGCAGTAAGTTGTTTCCTAGAACTCGAAAGGGTGCGGGGATTTCCTGACTATTGCTGTTTTCCAAGGGCATAGGGCTCAGGTAAAATTCAGCACTGTCATAGGGGAAGAAACTAAGCCTACTGGAATGAGAAGACTTTTTCAAAAATTAATGTTCAGCCAGCAGTGATTAATAGAAAGGATTTTTTAGTATTAAACAATAGCTATGCCTCTTTTTTTTTTTAAGATTTATCTATTCATCTGAGAGAGAGCATGTGAGCAAGGAGAGAGAGAAAAAATCCTCAAGCAGATTCCCACTGAGCACGGAATCTCATGCAGGGCTCAATCGCAGGACCCTGAGATCATGACCTGAGCCAAAACGGAGTCAAATGCTCAACCAACTGAGCCACCCAGGTGCCCCAACAAAGCTATAACTCTTTAAACAAAAATAATTCCGGGCGCCTGGGTGGCTCAGTTGGTTAAGCAACTGCCTTCGGCTCAGGTCATGATCCTGGAGTCCCAGGATCGGGTCCCACATCGGGCTCCCTGCTCGGCGGGGAGTCTGCTTCTCCCTCTGACCCTCCCCGCTCTCATGCTCTCTCTATCTCATTCTCTCTCTCAAATAAATAAATAAAAGCTTTAAAAAAAAAATAATTCCAAAGTGAAAATGGTAAATATTCTAAGCTAGACAACATTTAATTTTCTTTAATCTGAGTTTACCAATCCTCTCTTGGTTTGGATTCCTGCCTGTACGTTCATACCATACAACTTGCTAGTCACAGAGGCCAGGGGCCTAGAGTGAAGAAGCCAACTGTCTGAAGTTAAGCTGAGGGGAATATTTTGACCTTCTTGGTCACAGGTAAACTAATAGATTAACACCTGAAAACCAGCTAAATTGATAAGATGCATCTATGAATTTAACCCCCTGGAATCACCTCAAAACACCTGGCCAGATACATCTAGCTTTTCTTACATAAAGACAAACAATTCATGGTGAAAATGATTCTTCTGATAGCAACCACCTATATAAAAGGCGTAAAAGGCTTTTGAGGGGTCTTTTGAGTACAACTTCCTCCTCACCAAAACCACGAAACTCCAGTAAGAGGGCCAGCTCGCTTTTAATAAGTAGTTTTCAACCAAAGAAAAGAGTCACAAAGATTG